GGGAGAGAGAGAAGCAGGCTCCCTGCTGAGCAGGGAACCTGATGTGCCACTAGGTCCCAGGAGCCTGGGATCATGACCTGAGCCTAAGGCAGACACTTAACCGACTAAGCCACCCAGGCGACCTCAAGTGACTACTTCAGATCCACGGCTTAAAGGAGGGCTTCTCTGAGGAGGTGATATTTCAGTTGAAGCTTGAATGACAGAGCAGACAGCCGTCTGAGATCACGAGGAGGAGCAGAAGAAACAGTTTCTGAAATGATCCCAAGTCCAGAGTGAGTCTGGACTATTTGGAAAGCAGAAAAACCAGTGTGGCTGGAGAGGAATTTTCAAGGAAGAGAGTGCCGTGATATGAATTCTGAGAGGTAGCCAGGAGCCAGGATGAAAGGATAGATGGATGGATAGATGGAGGATGGATGGATGGATGGATGGATGGAAGGGAGGGGATGGAATAGAAGAGGACAGAAAGAAATGAGCAAGAGTACTAATTTCAGGTTAATCGGAGATTCTTTTATATGTTGATCTTTCTGGAAGTTTTCTATTAGTTTACAATCCTGCCTTAGCAAGTACTGAAAAATTAATATAATTCTTATTATTTAATATGTTAAGAGGGTGCCATACCTTAGGTTATGACCTTAAATTATCAATGACCTTCAGGGTAACACTGAAAAAAAATACATCTATAGAAAGTGTAATAAAGTGGGATGAATAGGTATTAATTTCAAGAGATGCCCAGGAGGTGAATTTTCAATAATACTTGAGTTGAGTCTGTTTTGTATGGATTTGCCCTTTCCTCCTCATGGAGAGTAAAGATGTTCTTAGTTAATGATTTACATGTACTGATTCTGATTAATCAATGTTTTCTGGTACCAAAAGGGTGATTCAAATGATTCTCAAATTTCTCTTATCTTCTAATATTTACCCGATGTGTAAGATTTTATTATAAGCAAATTTTCAAAAGCAATATATTTTTACAGTTGTTGGAACTGAAGCCCAAGCAATTAAACTGTAAATAAAGAGACCCATTGCCCTCTGTGACCTCACACATATCAGAGCATCAATCAAAATCTCAGTTCTTCCCGCAAACCCTGGGATCTATGCATAGTCTCCAAATGGAAACTCAAAAAAGAGCTTTGGTTTTATTGGACAAAATTGTTTTTATAAACATAACCTTGATATTTTACAAATTTTAATTGACAACAGATTTTAAAGCTGACATTACACTGACTTTAGGATTACTCCCATGTCACCTATTCCCAACCAGAAGCTTCCTTGTCTGAGGTCTACAAAAATATCAACCACCACCCCCATTTAATGGTGATTTGAATTTGCAAATACTTTCAGCAATCACAAAGCCATATCCAGAAATATTCATTAGTAATTGTATTTGCATCTATTAAATGTAGATTAAAAGGATTTTATTTTAACAAGATTTTATTTACCAACTAATTAGAATGACAATTTATTACAAGTACGAAAATAATTAACTTAGAATTAATAGAGTAGTATAGCTTTTCTGGTTGTAAGAAAGAAAGAAAGTCATTTCTCTCCCCTCTACAGGCCTTGTTTCGCACAGCTACTTATATCAGTCATTGTTATTAATTTCACATTTTTACTTACTCTTTATTTTCCCAGACATTTGAATTCTGGCGCTGTCAATTTCATAAAGGTCTTTTAAAGATAAATGTGCTATGTATCAAAAGCAGTTGTTTAAATAAGCCTTCAGTGCTGACAGCTTTGCTCTTGATACTTTTCATAGCAACAGCTAGGAGAGCATTTTACCATCAGTCATGGCTTTCTTTGTAAAGCTTCCTTTTTTCCCCTCCAATCAAAGTAAATATGCTCTTACAACTAGCATCACCCTGCAAAATGTTTCCTCGTGTTTAGTGAATGCGACCATTAGTATAATGAACAACAAATAAACAAATGAAATCCCCATACTCCCTTACAGAACAGGGAGAATGGTTACATTATTTCCTTCAGATATTAGTCAGGGCTATCTCAATATTGTCTTTTGGCCAAACGTCAGTAAAATAAATAAAAGAATTAAAGCTTCTTCGGGCATGATGATTAGATCATTAGCAGGCCAAGCAAAAACGTACCTAACTTGAAAATATAATGTTTAGAAAGTATAAATGCAACTAACTGTACATTCCTACCTCTAACATTTTCAAAGATAATTTCACCTTCCCCGTTATTCCATTAAAACAAAAAATCTGTTGTCTTAAGATAAAAGGACCACAAAACTCCAAGAGTTAATCCCTGCTTCAGGCTAATGACAAAAAATATTTTTTCATTTTATTTTAGTTCACATCCTGAAAAAAAATTTCACTTGACAGAAATGTTCTGAACTTGACTCTGAAAGGCAAATGTATTTGCTTCTCTTCAGTTTTTCTGGATAACAAAAGAGAGAAGAGTCAAGAAGAAACATTAGAGTTGACCTAAAAAAGATTTGTTTCAAATATTAAAATATTTTTTAGAACACTGAACAACTTCAAATTTCAAATGTTATGCTATAAATAAATATTTGAATGACAGAACACCTTACCCTTGTACACCCAGGATTTAAAAAATCATATCATATTTATTTCTAATCATGTCACTGAACTGCTACTGTTTTCTGGACTGCAAATAAAAGACTTATTCATAATAATGTGACACAGTTATGTGTGATTGATTGGTATGAAATAGAAAGGGACTTTGTCCAGACTGTATGCTGAGAACAGGGCCTGTCCCGTGCAAGCTATCAGCCAGTCCATCTGCAGCCAGCCAGCTGAATTACGCTTCTGGTGAGGGACTCAGTAGATTTGTCACAGCATAATTTCCACTCCATGATAAATTACCAATCTCAACTGCTTCTCTTTTAAGACATTTCTAGATTTCAATTCATTATAATTCTGACTTCTACCTTATCTTAGACTTTTAACAATTTCATCATGGTTTCTCAGGGTTCAAGGAGAAAAAAAGCAGGCAAAGGACTCCTCAATTTTTGTTTCTTTTACAAGAGAAAACACTACTACTGACAAAACAATGAGTAGTATATACAAATCTTATTGACTGTATTCACCTTAAAGCTTTTCCTTTTCTTTGATTTTTTTCCTTCCATTTCATAATCAAGGCAGGGAAGGAAGAAAGGAATTTCTAGTCCAGTGGTCACACTCCACATCCTATAATTTTGTTGCTGTTTTTCCCCTAGCCGAATAGTGCCCTTAATCAGCAGAGAAAAATATGCAGCAAACTATCTATACATCCTCCTATTATCCCCAACGGAGAGCTGAGAATTAGAAAGTTGCTTCTGGAAGAACTTCTGTCACAGTGAAGAACTGTAATGCTGTGCCCAGAAGCTTGGAGCACTCGTACTCCGGTTAGTTTGAGCCTTGGCTATAACTAATCATAAGGAAATTTAGTGAATTATTTGCTTTCATTTAAAAACTGCCTCTCCGAATAGCCAAAGTCCTGCTTCCCAAATAATTACAGTCAGTTTGAGACACATTTTTTACCCAGAGATTTTAGTTATTTTTCCTACTTAAGAGGCTTATGAATACTGTCTTAAGGAAACTAAAAATGGACCAAATCTACTGCTGGCATATTACATTGACAGTGCAGTTTAGTTTAGTACACTGGGATTTCTATTGATTGCCGTACTTCCTTTGTTCAGTGAACCTGTTCCTTTGATTACATTGATTCTGGTGGTCCTAGTTATTCCGACTTGGTATCGCATGGGCAGTGCTTTATATGACTCCACCACATAGCGCCAAAATAATCATACATTTGATTGTTTCAAAATTAGTTTAAGTCTTAAAATAAGAATTTTAAAATAACGAAACTTCCATTTTTTTCTCAAACTCAGTTCATATGAATCCTGATTCCATTACTGAATATTAATCCTGATAGCCTACATGATACACATATGAAAAGATAGTTGTATCAGTAAAGTTTATTCTGCATATATGTCATTGTGTGTTAGTTATGCAAATATGTGGCAGATCTATAGTTCACATTAATATTTAGTTACAAAACCAATAATGAACAAAAATTACTGGTAAGTGAAAAAAGCTTTATCTGTAAACTCAGTCAGCATATTAATAATATAATAGACATATAATAAGTAGATATTCATGAGACTAAGAATTTAGATAAATGGAATAAAATAAGACAGAACTAAAGTCATGACTAATCCCAATAACCATTTCCTACTCTATATTTGCATATATAAAATAGAATGTAATTCCCTGGTACCATTAACTGTTTTCTTCTTAGGCAAAAGTAATTTACTATTAAATATTTAAGGAATCAAAATAAGAAATCACTTCTGAAAATGCAAATTATTTAAACAGCTGGCAATTGCAACACATCTCAAAGGAGAGTTTTAACTTTACCAATTTAAAAAAAAAAATAAGAGTATAAAACAACATATACAGAAAGTTACCCAAAATAAGCCTTGTTCTGAAACTAGACCACCTTATCATTGGTAGAGAGAAGACGTTTGCAAACATTTCATAGTTGATGTTAAACTCATTCAGCTATAACCACAAAAGAAAAAATGATTCTAACATTTTGCACTCAGTACTTTGAAATATATCTCCCTCCCCCCACCGACCACAATTTAGAGCTTTGTTGGACAGTTTCCATACACTCTTTTAGAAACTAGGGAAAATACACCTTTCTTCCTACACAGGAGGGCAAATCACAGAAAGCTACGCGACGTTGCAAATTTGGTAGAAATACCAAGTCTGATACAAACATGAGTTTTAGTTGCCATGTTTCAGCGGAAAATGAATCCTGAGGCCCCTCAGGAGATTATGTACATCCCCAGGTGGGTGACTTATTTCATTCTACCAACACCGGCACCAGGAAGAAAACTGCCAGGCACGAAGCTGGCAAAGGCAGCAGGAGCCCCAAACTTAACTCTACAGACACATCTAGAGAAAAGAGCAGAAAACTGGCTTTTGCACATGAAAGGCCACCGAGGACCTTTGTCAACATTTTAGGATGAGAGAAGGATTAAAATGAAAGTGAACATCTTTGTGGGTGGAAATGGCAGGGACAAAATTGAGTCAATAATCTGATCATTTCTCTCTCCCAGTGTTTGATTGGACCCAAGGTAAACTGCAACAAAAAATGAACAACATCAGAAAGTACAGATCAGCTTAAGGGTCAGGGGAGATAAGAAACCCGAGAACACAGTATCCACCTGTCCTTTTTTCTTCCTTTAGAAACAAAATCAAACCCTATAAAGAGCTTTAAAGTTCCAGCAAGTAACAAGACAAAAAATTACATTTTTAAAGTGCTAATATACTAATTCTAGGTAGCAACAACTTTGAACATTCTGAACCTCACGTTTTCCACAAAAATCTGTTGTAATGGGTATTGTTCGTGTATCTATCACAAAGATTTGATTTTAAGATGCTTTCATCAAACTTTGGATAGCTTTGGTCAGCTCTCCACAAGTTATTTATTTTCCTGAAGATCCTTCTGTGCCAATGTCTGAAAAGAAAAATACAGAAATTATTTATGAGGAAAATTAAATTCCTAATGATGGAATGCCATAAAGTTCATGTAAATTTAACACAACAATAACTGGGCATTTTTAAATCTTCTTTTTGAACGTTTTTATAAAAAATATAAATCCTGACATAAGCTATTGGAACATTTTTAAACACGAAATGTTTACGGAAAATAAAGAAACAATATGTAATGTACTAAATTAAAATGACATTTTAACATATTTTAAAGCTAGCTATATATGTCTTCCATTAAAATGGAGCGTGGCAAATACTGCATTCATTTTATAAACAACCAAAGTAAGAGGTTAAAAGCAATTTAAAGTGCTCCCACACAATCCGAAAATAAGTTTCCAATAATTGAATCCAAAGTTCTTGAGATCATAAAAAATCGTAATAAGAAAGTTTTAGGATCAAATATAATAAAAGTATAATTTATGCCTATCAAAAACAAAAAGCTTTTAAGCATTATGATAGTTAAAACTCCTTCAGTGCATTAATCCTCTAATAACGGTTTCAGTCAAGAGAATGTTGAGAGGTCAGGTTTGGATTTTTTTTTAACTTAGTTCGAAATTGTACATATTCTCTTTGAATATAATTTGCTTTATGTAGCACCTGACTCTCCAGGAACTCAAAACACTTCAGAGGTTTATATCCTGACCTTAGTTTTGCTTCTTGTTGCTGTTTTATTTTTTTGTATCTAGTGAAAATCCCTGTGAAGGGCAAAGCACGAGTTCAGTGATATGTATCCCAGCAAACCTACTCTTGCCAGTAGGGAAAAACATGCGGAAGAGAAGTTAAACAATCAGGGTGGCTTACCAACTCCAAAACTTCTATTTCTGTTTGGAGAGCTTCCCAGGCACTTTGCATGTCATCTTCCTTATAAAGTTCTAATTCTTTTTTAAGTCTGTTTTAAAGGAAAAATTCACCCTATGAGTGAATAAACTTTTATAATATTTTTTTTATCCTATGGATAGAGGCAGATTTATAGCTATAGTCAGAATTTTATCATCATCATTCTATCATCAGAATTTTAACACTAAAGAATTTGGAAAGAAATTTCAATTCTCTATACTTCTAGAAAGACTGTATAATATTGTGAAGAAGTAAAAAAAAAACTTCCATAAAGAAAATAAGGCAGACTAAATAAATAATAGACAATTTTAGGTTAATTAAAAGAGCAACATATTTTGGTGGGGAAAAATATAGTACTGTCTGAAGAGCTCTGTTTGAGTCCTGGCCACTAACAAGCTGAAAAACCGTGGCTAAATCATTTAGCCTCTCTGAACTTCACCTGCAAAATTTTAATTACAGGAAAAAATGACCTCTGAGATTTCTTCTTGAACTAAAATTAAACATTAACTTTATAGTACACATATGTAATTAAAAATATATTTTAATTTTAGAGTGAGAAAGCAATATCAATATGTCTTTCTTCCAATTAAGTCTTTAATCCTTTGAATATTTGGAAATTTAAACAAATATTTTATGTCTATATTTAATGGAAAAAAAATAGTGAAAAAACTGTCTTCTATTTCTAGCATTAGGACTAATATTCTTTCCAAAAATAAAAACTTAAGGAAAAGCCATGGACTGCCACTGGAGAGGTAGAAAGCTAGGGCAGGGGGCAGATGAGGCTGCCCTGAGGGAGCAACACTGATCTCACACACCTACGCTGGCTGGGCCAGCCACAAGGTGAAGTGAATAGATAGATTTGAACCTCTGCTGAACTCCAACCCTTAAAGAAGGTCTGAAAGGGTTTTAGGTCAGTAGCATTCCCTGTGTATTTGCAGAAGCAAAAGAAAATCCTCTCTGAAGGAAAGTTTAACATATTTAGACCTACAGGATTCCTAGTGATTAAGAGGAAACCACGAGCTCACAATCAAAGATCACCAAGCACTCAAGAAGCCGAGCCACCAGAGGTAAAAGACAGCAGAGACAATCGATTGTGTCCATAATACATGAAGAACTACAAGTCAATAAGAAAAAGACAACACAATGGAAAAGGGGCATTCCCCACCCCCAACCCCGCGCAAATCTCTACCAGATTATCATTCACAAAAGACATACAATGGCTAACAAAAACATGAAAATGTGCTCAACTTTGTTAGTTATCAAGGAAATACAAAAGAAAAACACAATGAAATGCTATTACACACCCACCAGAAGAGCTAAAATGAAAAACAAGGAATTCCAAGTATTGACAAGGATATGACTATATGCCATAAAGGCAGATCCTTCACACTAGGTTGCAGAATAAGATGAGAAGTGTGGCTAATGCCCAATGAACATGTATGCAGTGTGAGCAGGAAATAAAACACTCATTGTAAATCACTAACATTTAAGAGCTGTTTGCTTCTGAAGCATAATTTAGTCTAGGTCACAGAAAAAAAATATAAAAAATAATCAGATAGTCACCAGGAACTGAGCACTGATGGCCACTAACACCTCCAAAACAAGAGGCACTAGGCCTCCTGATGGAAAAACACCACCACCTATGATACAGCTTTGGGAAAAAAGAAAAAAAAATTCAGCCTAAATTTGATCAAGCTTTTAGATCCAATTACCAATTTATAAAATATATATATAAGTCAAACAGATTTAATCCTACAATGGGAATATAATCAACTACATCCAACTCAAGGGAAACTCTACAGAATAAAAAAAATTAATTTCCTCAACAAATAAATTACAAGTTAAAAAAGAAAAAGGAAGGGGGATCTTCAAGATAAAAGAGATTTAAAAGACTTATCAACTGATTATCATGTGTAGACCTAATTTGAACTAAATTCAGACAAACAAAAAAAAATGACACCTATGAATTGTATGATATATATGATTTGCTTCAAGTAATAAAGCAGAAAAACAAGTAGAGAGAGATGAAACAAGATTGGCCATAAAGGGAGAACTGTTAAACTTGAGTGATGAGTACATACAATTCATTATATTTTTCTCTTTTACCTTTGTATGTGTTTTAAATCTTCTGTAATAATTATTTTAAGAAACAGAGTTTAGCAAAGATAGTAAAGTCAACATACAAAAACCTGTATATATTTTCATGCACCAGCAATAAACAATTAGAACATACCATTTAAAATAAACACACCATTTAAAACAGCATCTTAAACTACAAGGTACCTAAAATTAAAACTTACCAAAGATGTGAAAGATCAATAAACAGAAAATTATAAAGTTTTATTAAAAGATATTTTAAAAAGACAAATTGAGATATCCTAAGTTCATAAACAGGAAGTCTCAGTTTCATAAAGATAGTCTCTTAAAAGTAACTATAATAGTAAGTGCAATTGTAACCAAAATCACAGTAGATTTTCATGGATATGATAAATTGATTCAGAGATGTATATAAAAAGCAAAGAACCAAATATAAACAATAAACTCTTGAGAAGACCAAAAAAAAAAAAAAAGAAAAGAAAAAGGGAGGCATCCTACCTTGTATCATGACTCATTATAAAGTTAAGAGTAATTAAATATTTAAAATGGAATAGTATGCAGTTAGTAGTAATTAAGGCAGTTCTGAGCAGTAAGGAATGAACTGACCAATGAAACAGAATAGAAAATAGGATAAGAATTATATCCATGATCAATTATTATTTTTATTTTTTAATGACCAGTATCTTTCTTTTTTTTTAGTAATTTTTTATTATTTTTATTTTTAATACAAGATGTCACATTGTAGATCACTAGAGGAAGAAGAAACCATTCAATAAATGTTGCTGGGACATCTGATTATCTATGTGCAAAAAAATGAAAATGGATCTTGTACATATAAACAAAGTCAATGCCGTATATTTTAAAATGTTTTTTATTGTGTTAGGTTAGTCACCATACAGTACATCATTATATTTTTATACTTTACAACTTACACATAGTTAGGGAAGAAAAACATAATAATTGTAGGGATGGAAGAGAAGATAATACCCTATACATGTGAACTTCATTGTGTTCTGAACTTTTATGAATTTAATAGTAAATAGGAATTCTGAAGGAATGCTCAAGTAGGAAAGATAGAACAAGTTATTAATTTTGAGCATTAGAGGTTTACACAAGCATAAAAAGCCTTGTAATGAATATTTTTAAAGAGTAAGTGGAAAGTTAAATGGAGAATTACAATGTACTGTGGAGAGCTATACAATGTACTTCAGGCTTCATTTGAATATATTTATCTCTTCAAATAAAATGGTAGCCATCTTTCTTCCACCATACCATCCATACTCACTCCTCCCCCTTTTCAGTTGAAATGAACTGCAGGTTCCGTGAGATGTTTCATGCCCTCAGAGCTGGGCAGTGGACCACTTTCCCTTTCAGTTAGCTAACCGTGAGAATGAGAGACTACTGAAATTAAGGAGGGCATTTAGAGCAAATTATAGGAAGTATTTCACTATTCAGCATATAATCAGGCTGTAGAATTTAGATCTGCACTTAAAGAAAAAATTGCTGTTGCTAGCTTTAAAAGAGGCTGGATAATAATGGTATGAATATTAAAACATTTGCAGATAGCCAAAGCTATATAATGGTAAGCAGATCTCACGCTTCAGTGCATAGACTGATTGCCTACAGGAGTCAAGAAGGACTTCCTTCACCTGCTGCACAATAACTCAGGGCAGTTTGTATTGGTTATTGTCACCTTTCTCTGAATCATCATATAATGACGAGGATGGGCCAATACTGCTATAGTTAGTTGTGCAAGACTTATGTTCCGTGTATTTTTATGATTTTCTGCAAATTTCAATTTTTTTTCAGTTACTACTAAGTATTCTAGAAAAGGCTTTACTAAAAGAACACTCTTTTTAGCTATAGAACTGTACACAAGTACTATTTAAGTAGAAAGAAGGGAAAATTTCAGCCAAAGTCCTAGTACACAGATTGAAATGATAATAAAATTAAGGTATATTTTACTGAAAGAACTTACTAAAAGAATACTCATTTTAGCTATAGAACTGTACACAAGTACTCAGTGGAAAGAAGGACAAATTTCACCCAAAGTCCTAAAACACAAACTCAAATGATATTGAAATTTAGGTATATGTCATCGTGGTCTTCTGTTTCCATATAATGGTGATTATGTAATTTTATTTCTAGTTTTTTTTTCTTTTGCCTAATGTTATCACTTATATTTTTCTCAGTTAATAACACATGCCAACTAATACCATATAAGAGAAATATGTAATAGTCCAAGTGGCAACACCAGAATTAACTTAATTGTTCATTTATGGTATAGCAATTAAGTTGTTCCTGTTTTTTCTCTACAATAAATAACATTTCTATGAACAACTTTGTGCATAAAGTTTCCTCTGTACTTAGAATTATTTTCCTTTGGATAGAACTCGTAAGTGTAATTTTTAGGTTAAATTACATAAACATTTTTAAGATGCTTTCAGTGATTTATGTACACCAAATTGCATTTGGAATATATGCAATGTATACTGTCTCAGCAATGTAAGAATAATCTCTGTACCACACCCTTGCCAACTTCGGTATGGTCACTTAAGAATGTCTTTCAAAATTTGATAGAAAAATGATAATCAGTGGTTTTAATTTGCAAGTAATTGATAAACAGTATAACTGATTTAGCATCTCATTTATTCGTCTTGGTATCCCTACTAACTTGTACAGCATTAGACACAAAGTATGCATTCAACGCATGTTTGTTGGATAAATACATGAATGAAAACTTGATTTTAGTGTTTTCTGATTTTTTTTTCACAGTTGATTACTTGGCATGCTGTTATTCTTTGTTGTAACTACTATAAACTTCTCCCAGTTCATCATTCCCTGATGCTGAACTTCTTCGACACATGGAATTTTAAATCTTATATATTAGGTGTATTAATTTTATCCTTTTTGGTTTCCTTAATCACACCAGATGTTTACTAAGTAGTTCTTTTT